CTGAAGGAATTTTTTCTTTCTAAGGTAGTATTTTACATTTTTGATGAATTATAATTTTTCATTTACAATGATAAAATACCATTTCTTAAATCTGTTTTAAAAATTGTTCAAATATTGTCACAGAAACCATATATAGTTGGATTATTAGGTTGATTGTTATTGTGTTTTGTTTTAAGATACCATTGTTTCAATATCAAGGCTGTATAATAGATTTGACATTAAATTTTCACTTATAAAAGTAGATTTATATCCATTTATATCTATAAGAAAAAAACTAGGTAGTATTCACTTCAGATTTTGTGTTATTTACTTTAGCATTTAAAAACTATCACTCCAGAATGTTGGGATAAAATACAGTAATGTCATAAATAATATTAGACTGGCTTTAATTTTCATTAAACAATTTATTTGTAATAAAAGCAATTTTAGATTTGTGCAGCAAAAAGTAATAATGAAGGGTGTATTGACAGAGATGTTCTGATAAAATAAAGTAAAGAAAACCTAGACGTTTTAATTTAATGTTTTAAAAGCTATGCAAGGCAATAAATAATGCAAAAAAAATATGATGATGGTGAAGAAACAGAAAGGACTAAAAGAACAAGTTTCAAAAAAAAAATAGATGATGATTGATTTTTTATTTAAGTGTTTATTTAGAACTATTTGTAATTTACAACTAAAAATAAATATAAAAACAATTTTTTATCCATAAATTTATAAACATTTACTAAATTATTAAAATATGTGAACTGATTATAAGGGAATCTATTATTTACCATTTTATAAAGTTTGAATCAATTGGCAATTAGCCAATGTTTTGCCAACCATTCCAACAAACAGTATAATAAATAAATAGTATAAATAAACAATCTAATAAATAATTAGTGTTTATTATTTTTGTTATAAACTCTGAAGAACAAATAACATGTATAAATTCACTTTCATGTTTAGGTTTTATTACAGTTATAATAATTGCTTTTTAAAATGAACATTGTTGTAGAGTGAAGGTAGTTAAAAGAATAACAATGTCAATGGAAAAAAATGTCCTTTTGCCACTAAATTTTTGGAGCAGGACACAAGGGTCCAGGTTTGACAGTATTTGATATCTTTATGTATCTCTTTATTATTTTACTTTGTATTGTTATTAAAATAAACTTATTTTGTGGCAAAATATTTTGCCTCTTTCTATTTGAATCAAATTCATCACAGCAAATATGATGAGGTGTGCTGAAAAGGTTTTGACCAAGAAGGGATTAAAAAAAAGATTCTAGTGTTTGTTCATTTGATCAGATTTCTGAAAGCGAACCAGGCCGAGGACTTTTCAGTACCCCCTTATAGTGAGTGAGACAAACATACACTTCAGCACTTACTTATGTGTAGGAGCTTAATGTTATATTATCAACAATAGTAACCTAACCTTGGCACTGGAGATCTCTTTCTTTTTTTCTCATTACACTGAATTAGTAATTAAAGCAAGGTTTAAAAAAATGTGAATGGCCACATTGATTTCAGAGAATTAGCTGTAGGCTACAAGAATAAATTTTTAGAGTAAATTACTGGATGAGATAGAAACAGATATGGAGAGAGGAATGGCAAAAAAATTCTCTCTTTTTCTTTTTCTATGGAGAATTAAATGGATTAATTATATGCAAAGGCAATGGAAGTATTGGTTGAATAAAGTCATGCTTCCACAAAATTGAAATTTTGTTTGAGATCAGTTGCTGAAATTTACAACAAATTTACTATTTTAAAAAAAACTTGGATGGTTTCACAGATCACATGCAACCCAAGCCTGAGTTAGAACTTTTCTGGGGTGTATGGCACATTACCATTGTCCTTCAGAGCAGTTTTTTATTTTCATCTCCTAATGGAAATGACCTTTTCTCATATGTGAGAGTCTAATTAATAAAATACGGGCATCCACTGGGGCCAAGCTGTTTACAAGTTATTGAATATTTTTTATATCATAACTAATTAATATGAGAAAAAAATATCTTTAAGCAATCTTACGTTAAACATGTTTACAGGTGAAAAACAGTTGTACCACTAGTTTTCTTGCAACTAATGGTTCAGCCCCTTTTATTAATCAAAACAAAATTACAGGTAAGTATTTGAGTTTCATGTGATTGCCAGACAAAGTCAACCATTAATTCATGTAAAATTTATATTCTGGAATAAAGATTGCCAGACAATCAGTAATGTTCTTTTATTAAAAAAAATGTTTTGTGATCTTTTTCTTAAGTATTTTCCCATAGCAGGGCAAACAGAGCTCTTTAGCCATGTTTGGCAACCAGTCTAGAAGAATGACAACACTGAATTCAAAACTGGTTTGTATGATAATTAAACTGGGAGTAAACTTTAAATCTCACTCTGTTGCAGTGGAATATAGTGAAATGGAGTGTGGAGTAGACAATAAGCAAACTCCTGTTCTTGTCTTCTGCTGTCTTTCTTCTTTCTAGTGTATGTTTAAATCTTAATTTAAACTTCAGTAGAGAGACAACTCTCTAGTTAATAGAAAATTACCTTGCCTTGGGACACTGGGTATGTATCCCTGGCAAGGCCCATACTATACAGCTATTGAAAAGATTAAGGAGTTTGCAATTAACTGTGGCACAAGATTGTGAACTCTATGATCTTGATTAAAGTCAAATAAAAAAACAAAAACTTTCACTTATTTTATTATAAGTTTCTCTTCTTTTTCTTTTTTAAATCATTTTACCCCAAGCAAGGTCATAAAGCCACTAAGACACAAGGAGTTACTGAGTGTGATGGAAATGTCGAGGAGAAAGGACAATTTAAAGAAACAGGATTCAAAGAAACCAAAAATGACAATTGATATTGCATTTAAATTTTTAAAGATTATAGTTGACAGGAATGTAAGAAGGTGGAAAAAAGTTCCACAGGTGAGAAGTGCAAGAGAAAAAAAAAACATTAAAATAGAACTTACAGTTACACTTAGCAATTTCAACATTAAAATGATGAAACCTAACTGCCAATCTAATACTGCACTTAAATTTGTGAAGCTGAGCTACCAAAAAAGAAATTCCATTATTGTGATAACAAGCAACAATAATAAAACAGAATTATGCCAATATTAAACTATTAAAAAGCTAACTCTGTCAGTTTTAAGCCTGGGTATGAAAGGAGAAACATGGGGCTAATCCTCTTTTTACAGAAATGTCAAGAGGCAATCAACAAGACACAGTCTGGTAAAAAACCTGATGTCATTAGAAGCAACAAAGCCATTTGATCTTTTATCAACCAGAATGGTTAACATTAAGAGCCTGGAATCTCTAATGTAAAACAGAGCAAAAATAATCAAAAAAATAAAACACCTGAACTTGAAGGAATCAGTTGATGAGAAAATCCCAAGAAATTACTCTTTGATCTTTTGTTGATGCCATATAGAGTAAAAAAATTGATAATGAAACTTTGTAGAAACATCTAATTTCCAAAAGCTCCTGATGTCTTTCTAAGTTTCTTCATCATCATCAATCCCATGACTGGGTGTGGTTGTAGGGTTGCTGCACAACTGAGTACCTGATCAGTTCTCTCTACATGTCTTTGTTGAAAGCCAGAGAAGTATTAATTCATGTGTAGTATGTCTTAGGCAATTAGACCTGGTGGAGCCCTTCCTCTCCAGGTCAGACCACAGTCGATATCCAACTTTAGGCTCACCTTGGTCATGGACATGTGGCCATTGATTACGCCAAAAGGAATCCACCACCCTGGCTGTTGAATTCAGTCTCAAAATCACGGAGCCAGAAGGGAGTTTCGCAAATGAGAAGTGTGAGAAAAGAAACTGTTAGCATAGAATTTATGGTTACATCTAGCCATCAACTGTAAAAATATGAAACCTTGCTGCCATGCTTGTAATACACTTAAATTCATAAGGTCTAGATACTGTGGCGGACATGAGACAGAACCTGGGACGAGCACAACTGGTCGCAACTTGCCTTGTCCCCACCAAAAAAGAGCCAGTATTTGCTTAGCATGTAAAGCTACTGCAGTTGAAATGAGGGAGAAAAAAAAGCACTTACCGCTCTGCCGTAATCCGTCCTCAGCCAGATAACATAAAAGAATGAGGGGGGACTTGCATTGCATTTTTATGCAATAAAGATGCAATGCATTATGGGACATGGACGCAATGAATTATGGGATCACATGAAGATGCCAGGGATTATGGGTATATGGACAAATATAAAAGCAACTGCTTTTTCCCGGTGCGGGGAGTTCTTCGAGTGACGTTCACGGTTGGCGGCAAGAACAGTTTGTTAGTGCGATTTTGAGACAGAACTCAAGAAGGAACAACTCAAGGTTGAAATACCAGCTGGGAGAGCTTGAACTTACTCGCAGGTTGCTGTTTTCTTTATTTGCCACAGGTACCTAAGAGGAAAGCTCATCAAAACAATTTCCATGACAATATTTATAGAAAAGGTACAGGAAATCAACTTTACAGTGGTAGGAAAGTGACTGAAGGTGAGATGCCAGATCAGGACCAATAATATTGCTGATTCTTCTTTGGAATTTGTCAAGGAGCTCTAGATAAATAGCAGGAACACCTGACAATATATGGCAGCAATATTCTAAGCATGGATGAATGGTAGATTTATAGATATGTAGGATAGATTCTGAAGAGAATAATTGACTCACATGACACAGTGAACCAACTTTCTTAGCATCTGACCTAGCAATGGATTCGATATTGTCTTTCTACTTCATATCCACTGAGAATGTTAGCCCAAGAAAGTGCAACAAGTCACTTTCCTGGGGGTTAGCATGTGCAAAAAATGTTGTCACTGCTTTTAATCTAACTAAAAGTGCCTGCAACAAGTGTTTATATTTTCTTTATATTGATAATACTTTTCTTAGTAGATGAGCAGTTCCCCACAGTGCAGTTTTTTTAAATTTCTTTTAAACAGGGACTGCCAGAGATTTTGTTAATGTTCTTTTCTATAACTTTTTTTTTTTCTCCAATTATTATCATTATTACTATTTTTCAGGGCATGAGCCAAATTTTGCCAAGAAAAAGATAACATTGCTAGAATCTGGTCCTGAAAAAGTGTTCGAATTGACTAAAACCTACAAAAACCGTGTCAGTACAATCAACCCAGCCTCAGTTGCACTTTTAGATAGTAAGTTGTTGCTGTTTTATTTTTTGTTTTTGAATTTCTGGGATGTGAGATTATTGTTATTTAAATTATTTACATTCAGACTAAAATTTAGAATTATGTAGATATGTGTGTTTAAAATTTTTATTTTTGTCATCTTCCTTGTTTTTTGTTCATGATGTTTAAGGTTTTGGAGCTTGGGACAAAATTTTACAGATGAGATGCCAGCCAGTAAAGAGAATGCAGGTAATAATGTTTGATAATTATTTTCTTGAAATATACAACCATGTATGTAATTTGTAAAGAGTTAATGAATTTATTTTTATTCCCAGAATTCTTTTGCCTTTGTCTTGTCAAGCCCAATTAACATTAAATTCTTTTCTCATCCAATTGAGAATTGTTCTTTTTATGTAAATTGGCATGTCACTTCAGGGGGTAGGTGATCATGACTCTTCACAGTTTCCTTTACTTAGGAGAGATAGTGGCTTCCCATTGCCTTCTCCATGGTTTGGAATGGAGAATTTTTATTCTCTTAGATTGATTGACATCAACACTACCCTACTATTTACACCATAGTTTGGGAGAGGCAAGATGAATTCATGCCTTTGCCAAAGATGTTAGTGTGAAAGTGAATGCAACAGACTAGGCTGGAATTTGAACTCTCTTTGCCAACTGCTCTTTTCACTACCCTTACATCCAGAGAGAATTCTTCATCTATGTGCTGTCTCCCTTCAGGATATAGGCGATCAGAGCTCTCCACAACTTCCTATCCCTTGTGGCTCTTAACAGTTTTTCTCCTTTTGCAAAGACCTCCCTCTCCATTACGCCATCCAATCACACAAACACTGTCAAGTAAGTGACTCATATGGAGATTATTCAGTATTTACTGCCCTATAAGAGCATGTAAATATCATAGTAATCCAACATTCTTTTCTTTGTTTCTGACAAGATTTTTCCCTTTTGCAGCACCTTGCTTAGCTTTTGGAATGCTTCTTTCACTAGTCCAATTAGTTTGGATCTCGATGTCGCATTTTCCATATTACCCACTTCAAATTCTGGTTCCATCTAAGACCACTTGAGATTAAATATTTCAATCTTTAAGAGGTTATCTATGCCCCAGTGATTGTTACAATTGATCTACTTTAAAATATAATATAAAAAAGCAAAATTTTATTAGAAAAAATAATATTTATTGCATATTGGAAAAATTTCAATCTCCCCAATTATTAAGATCACCCTCTCATATTAGGCACCTTTTCTTATTATTCCTGCAGGTGTGGGAATCTTGCTCTGATTCCTTATTGACTTTCAACCATCCTGATTTATCATTGGAATTGGCTTATGTTGTTGAGAATGATGTCTTGCTGTCTGCTATTACTGATTCCTTGAAAGAGTGTCCTCAAGTTGAAGTACTGTATGATACCAAAGTCAGCAATGTTGATATTCCAATGTTGAATGATCCATCTGCTAAGGATTCTTTGCTGACTATTTCTCTAAATAATGGCAGAATTCTTCGTACACATCTTCTGGTAAGTCTCTGGTTTCTCTTACATGAATTTGTTATATCTATCTATATATAAAAAAATTGTGACTTCTGTTAGTCTGTCCATCTGTAACACCCTCTAAAATAGCTATACATTGACTGCTCGAGACCATATTTTTGGGAGAAGTGCAAATGAGTAAGGGGGTAAAAGGTACAGTTGCTTTTATTAAGCTTAATACAATAAATTTTCATTAATTTTTTTGGAAATATTAAAAGTTTTATTACTTAACATACAAAATACTCCCACTATTTTAGCAAATGCTTATTTAATAAAAATGCAATATTGTTTTTTGCATGTCTTTTCTTTAAGTTTTTATATGCAAGAATCCAGTTTCCTGTTTGCCCTGTGTTTGCAAGAACTATAAACAAATCACAAAGCCAAATGCTTCAAAAAGTTGGAATTTGGCTACTTCTGTATATTTATGCATGATCACTTATATGTTGTATGCTCAAGAGTAAGAAATCATAAGAAGTTATTCTTTGCTGTTAAAAAGGCAAAAAAGAAATTTTCTTAAAAAATATTGTTTACCATGAAGTCCTATAAAATTAAATTTAAAAAATTATTAAACAACGAAGTAGTTATTTTTATCAAAGTATTTTTCCAAACAAATCAGCTTATTCAAATTTCATCGATTGGTTTGTGAAATTGAACAAAGTGTAAAGTTTGTAAATCTTGACAAAAAATATTAATGATGACTTCAACAATACTGTGAGGATTTCAAGACAAAAAAAAATTTCTAGTTTCTTAAAATATACATGCATAAATTTACTCTATTTGATTCTATATTCTACCTTATTTTTCCTCCAAAATAATGGCTCAAAAAATATTTCCCATTTGTGAAATTGAGCTAACTAGTAGGCTAATATTTGCCCAAATAGTGTAGATTGCCAGTACATGTATCTAGCCTAACACCATAATCTTTTTCTATGTGCCATGACTCTTCAGGATGTGGGCAATTATGGCTCTCTACAACTTCCTGTCTTTTATCTCTCTTAGTAAGTTTTGTCTTTTATTTTGTCTTTTTGTTTTTTGTTTTTTTCTTTTCTCTTTCGTCTTTTTTTTGTCTTTTTGCTACCGCTTTGCCAACCTTTTATACAAGACTGCTAGGTAGGTTATTCACTAATTTCTTTTGTACCTCTTACCTTCAATGTCCTGTGAGTGTCAAATTCTCCAAGACCTCTCTTCTCATTACGTGCTCTAGAAATTTCAACTGTCTCTTTCTGATTCTAAATAGAAGCATCCTTTTTGTTTCTATTTTCCTTAAAACTTCCTCATTATTCACATGTTCAGTCTATGGTATTCTCAGTATCCTTCTGTAGATCCACATTTCTGTCAACTCAAGTTTCATCTTCATCTGTGAGATTGTCCAGCATTTACTGCCATATTGGAAGATTGATATTACATAACAGTTCAGCACTTGTGTTTTTTTGTTTCTAATGAAAATTTCCTGTTTCTTAATACTTGGCTTAGTTTTTAGATGGCATATTTTGTTATTCCAATGCACCTTTGGATTTTGGTGTCATTAAATGAAAATAGTTGTTTTTTTTGTAGGGGGTTAATTCACCCCAAGCAAAGTGATAATACTACTAAGACTCAAGGGTCTACTGAAAGTAAAAGAGAAGGAAAAGGCTTTAAAAGGAACCATAAACCCTATCCTAGACAGGAAACAAGGGATAAGCGTCTACTCATGTTCAAAAGATCAGGGAGGAGTGAGAACTGGATGATAGGTGAACTTATCTACTCCTATTGAGGAAAAAATAAATAAAAGTATATAGTAAATAAAATTTCAGAGTTTAGGCAGAGACATTAGAAGTATAGAATTGAAGTAGACTTTAGAAGTAACCAGAAACCAAATCCTAAACAGGAAACAAGGGATAAACCTCTGCTGTTTAAAAAAACTGGGTCGGGGGGGGGGGTCTGTTTTTTAATACAATATTAATTCATTGGCCTGCACAAATGTGTAAGGTATATGATGGGGACACAAATCCCAATCTATTTCCGAAAATCTGACCAAATGACTAAACAAGACTTCTTGATCAGGATGAGAACTTTTTAGCACCCCTTATGAGTATGTTCTTATGTGTATATCTACATAGGTATCTCAACAAATCCTTTTGCCTACTGATGAAAAAAAAAAAACATTTATTTCATTTATTAATCATTTCTCAGACAAAGTTATAAAGCCAATAAGACACAAGGGGTTACTGAGGATGAAAGACAATAGGATGTAAGAAACTGAGGAAATGTTACTGGGGATAAAGGACAATAAAAAGGACAGGATTCAAAGAGACAGATGATGACGAGTGATATTACATTTAAACTTTTTTAAATTGTAGTTGACAAGACAGATAGAAGCTGGAACAGAGTTTGTCAGGTGAAAAATGCAAGAGAAGAAGCTATTAGAATAGAACTTATAGTTACATTTAGCAATTTCAACAGTAAAATGATGAGACATAACTGCCAATCTAGTATTACACTTAAATTCATGAAGTTGAGGTACCAAAGCAGAAAGAATAATTGTCATGGAAATATTTATAGAAAAGACACAGGGAAGCTACATTATGGCAATAGGAAAGTGACTGAATTTGAGATGCCAGGTTGGATTTTATCAAGAATACATTAAGGCAGTAAGTGTACAGTAGATATTAGATAATTCCCAATCAAGTGAAATAAAATTATAACATTTTTTCTTTTCTTTTTTATGAACACATTAAGTGAGAAAAATTATTCCCCTATAAAAAGACATTTACAAAGGATGTACTGAATCAGACTTCAACAATTTAAATTATTGTAAATTTCTACCAGCTTATAAGTGGATTTTTATTTTCTACAGATATAACATTGGTCATATTGAAGTCATTTCCATACCTAATTACTTTATTTTGGCACACAGTTCTTGAATGAGACAGATCAATATGAGACAACACTAAAAATTGGCTGTGCAAAAGTTTTTGGTAACCTGGTGTGGGGAAAATTGTGAAAATGGCTTACCTCGAATCTGCGCAGTATGCAAACTCTGGTCCTTCCAACGGCAAAAGAAACCAAAATGGCGGCGCCCATGTTTTATGCCGGGCGGTCTCGGTTAGTTAACGCAAAATCTTGTTGTCTCGTCATTCGCATGCAAATCGTGGTCGGTCCGCGGCTGTATAAAGCAGGCTCGTTTTGCTGTTTCAGATCAGAGAGCTTTCGGCTCATGAGAAGGTTGGACGTGGGACACCGGTTTTCTTTGTGCCTACCTGCTATCATCAGTTGAATTGTTGCGTTACACGCCACACCTGGCAATTTTTTATTTTTTTTTCCTACATTTCTGGTAGTGACAATTCAGTAATGTTTAACCTTCATAAGCTTACAGCCTCATCATATTGAAACACTAGTTCCTGTACAATCGTCAAAGTTAAACTACATTGAACCTGGTCAATACCTAGATGGGTAACCACTTGGGAATACCAGCTTGGGTGTGTGGGTGCTGTAATGGATAACAGTTCCAAATTGTTAATCGCAGAGCCAAGTTCCAATTCCAGTTGAGTTCATTATAAATTTCAGTTCAGTTAACACCATTATGTCCAATGTTATACAAAATGTTACAACAAGCGCTTTCTCACTGCCATAATATAGCTTTCCTGTGCCTTTTCTATAAATACTTTCATGATAGTTCTTCTGTTGAGCTCTCCTCTTTGGTACCTAGTCTTTAGGAATTTAACTGCAATACTGGATTAGTGGCAAGGTTTCATCATTTTACAATTGGAATGGCTAGATATAACTAAGTTCTATGCTAACAGTTTCTTTTCTCACACTTCTTGCCCTTGGAACTTTCTTCCAGCTTCTTGCTTTCCAATGAACATTGATCTCCAAAATGTCAACAGCTATCTTCTGTCTTCTTAATTTCTGTTCTTTTATTGTCCTCTCTCTCATTAATAATATTTTTTCTCATATCTGTCACACTCAGTAACCCCTTGCATCTTAGTGGTTTTATTGCCTTGCTTGGGTTAGAAAAAAATGATGTTGTATTAAGCACATATATGCAACTATAATTTTGTCCAGCAGTGATAATTTCACCTATTTTTAAAAAAAAACAAACTTTGTGCTCATGTAAGCTTACTATAAAACCTGTCCATCTGTAATTTTGTTGGAAAATGGCTCCTTTAAGTTGCTTGAATCTTGCTGCTTAAAACAGTGAGAAAAAATTTAAATCCAATGGCAAACATTATCTACTGTCTTCTAGATTCCTTTTCTTTTATTGTTCTCACTCCTTAATAATATTTTTTTATATTCTTTCACACTCAGTACTCTCTGCATCTTAGTGCCTTTATTGCCTTGCTTGCAGTGAAATGATTAAAAAAAATCACTAAGTGATTAAATATCAAAATTTCATTTTTCTAAGATTTCAAGCACTTAATTTTTTACTTAATTTTAATTTAATTTGTAATCTATAATTTTTTTAATTAATTCTTAATTAAATAAGTGTAAACATGAAAAATTTATCATATTTATAGTAACTTAAGTCTGATTATTTTTATAAAAACCAGCTATGTATTAACCAACACTTTAATTCATTGGCAGTTGTAAGTTCAATATCAGGGTCAGGTAGTGCTGAAAAGTCATACACTCTGGTTCAATGAAAGAAAAGGAAAAGTAGAACAAAGGTAGATAGATTAGAAAGTATTAAGTGATAGAAAATATCTCTTACCCATGGAAAGTAGAATGTAAACTATTTACTCCTCCCCCATGGATTGAATAAAAAGTATTTTTATATAGAGTTTCCAAGTTCAAATATAAATGTATGTAATAACCTTCTTTGTAGAAGACGTAAAAGCCAACTAAAGAAACTGGACACAATCAAAACTAATTTCCACTGGTACAAGATTAAACTAAAGGAGCTAAAGGAATGTGCTGCTGACCAATTGCATTGATGTGCCATTGTCTACTAAACCTTTGCAAATATTGAAGAAGCCCAGTATCAAAAAATCAATATTCAAAGAGAACTTTGTCACCATGCAACTTTGATATTAGTCACAACCACCAGTGTCCCCACTACTTTAGACTCTGCATGTCTAGACTTGACAGGTGGAAGCACCTCCAGGTCCACTGATGAATTGCAAGATGAATTCTTCTTTGGAACTGAGGGACAAAGAAATCAACACTCAAATCAGCAAACCAAGCCAGGCTATAAAGAGGCTCTGTAACCAGCACAACATATTTTTGTCAACAAAAGTAAAAGGCTACAAAGACATGGTTCCACTATTCTTTCCTCTACAGATTTGAAATGTGAATCTTGCACAGCAGGAACATCAAGAAATTGAAAAAATTTCACATGCAGACACTTCACTGTATACTTGAAATCATGTTTAAGGATTGCTTCACCAACCTTTAAATTTTGGATCATGTTGAATCAATTAGCATTGAATCAATGCTCCTCAAGACACATTTCTAATGGACTGGTTATGTCATATGCATGGCACACCATCATATTTCCAGACACCTGTTGTTTGGAGAGATGATATGTAGTAGAAGATATCAAGGCTGACCAAAGAAATGGTACAAAGATGTAATCAAAAATAACATCCACTAATGCAGGATGAAAACAATGGAGCTAGAGAAGTGGGTTGCTAACCAATTCCATTGGCATGCCATTGTCCACCAAGCCTCTGTGACTTTGGCATTGGTCAAAACCACCAATTTATAGTGTGCCCACTGCTCCAGACACTGAACCTCCAAACTTGGTTTACAGATCCACCTCTTGATCCACTGATGAATTGCAAGAAAACACTTTTTTCAGGTCTGAAGGACAACTACAATTATCTTCTTGACACTCTAGAACCTTCATCAGTCTTTCAACCAGTGATTTTTCTAAAAAATTTTTCTGTGTTGTACAATCTAGACAAAGAAATTGACACTTAAATCAGCAAACCAAGCCAGAGGACCCATAACCAGTACAACATACACTTATCAACTAAACTAAAAGTTTACAGAACCATGGTCCCCCTTTCACCATTACAGATTTGAAATGTGAACCTTGTACATCAAGAAATTCACATGCATGGTCTTCATTGCATGCTAGTAATCACATTACTGGATCACATCATTCATCCGGCATCAAAACAATGCTTTTCATGACTCAAGTCCAATGGACTGGTAATATCATCCGCATGGCACAACATTGCATTTCCAGATGCCTGTTGTATAGAGATGTGCTATGTGGTAGAAAACATCAAGGTCAACCAAAGGAATGGTACAGCATCACAATCAAAACTAATTTCCATTGGTGCAAGATCAGACCAAAGGAGTTAGAGAAGTGTGCTACTGACTGATTGCGTTGGTGTGCCATTGTCTACCAACCTCTGCAAACTTTGAATAAAGCCTACCATCAAAAAATCAATATTCAAAAAGAACTTTGCCACTATGCAACATTGGTATTAGTCATAATTACCAACTTCTAGTGTTCTTACTACTCAAGACTTTGTGTCCAGACTTGATTTGCGGACACACCTTTGGATCCACTGATAAATTACAAGACAAAGTCTTCTTTCTGATCCAACAACAACCATGAAAATATTGTCAGATTTTGTTTGTTTTTTTTCTTTTACTGTTCTTATTAGTTATTTTATTTTTATTTTTAAGATTGGAGCAGATGGATCCAACTCTCTTGTCCGTAAAACCTGCAACTTCCCAACTGTACAATGGGAATATGACCAGGCTGGTGTTGTGGCAACCCTACAACTATCTGGGGTAAGTGATTTATTTATGGGCACTCTCTTGCTTCCAAAAGGTCACGTTGCAAACTTTCAGTGATATGAAGAAAGCCTGTAAAATACAATGCTAAAAACCTTCTTATAAAACCTTGTGTAATAATTAAATGTGAGTAAATAACATGAAACTCATTGGTAAACTGATTCATTAGGCTGGCTACCAATGAGTTTTAGTTCCGCATGTATTTCTGTTCAATGGTACAGACACAACATATACAAATTGGGGACTTTCCAATACCTTGTTGTATCTATTAACTAATATTCAAGCTATTGTGAGAGATGATAGAATTGTGATTTGAGAAGCATCATCATTATGTTAACCTCATGGTCCTTGTCAAAGTAGTGGGAGGAGAAGGACTTTAGGATTTTAAAGAGGGAATTAGGAACACTGATGTGAACTACAAATTAGTGAAACCAAAATCAAGCAAATACAAAAATTTAAATATCTAGGAAGCGTTTTAAAAAAGGGGGAATATATGGCACCAAAATCAGCAGGTGCATGGGAATAGTGAAAGATGCTTTCCAAAAGCTAAGCAAAGTATTAAGAAAGAGAAAAATTTTGTTAGAAATAAAGAAAAGAATACTGTACTGTTATGTGATATCAGTCTTCCTATATGGCATTGAATGCTGTACAATCTCCTCTCAGATAAAGAAGATACAGGAGACAACAAAAATGTGGTTCTACAGAAAGATGCTGAGAATACCATCAACTCAATATGTGAGCAACAGTAAAGTCTTAGGTTTGATTGATTGTTTTTTATGATCATCAACCTTTTTCAGATTATTTAAAGACAGAAAGTATTTTTATTGTAAGAATTTTGGGGGGTTACTGATACAAGTTTTACTAATTCACCCATAGCTGGAGGTTAGAAGAAGTGGATTCATACCTTTCCCAAGTGTATTTGTATATAAATGAATGTAACAAACCAAATTGGAATTCAGCTCTTCATTTTCCAATTCTAAGCCGTTATCCAATACACCATTCGCATATGCAAACTTACAGAACTTGGTATTTCTTAATGGTCACCTATCTAGGTACAGAGTTTTAGGAGAAATGGAAACAAAAAGGACACTTATACTTAGCATTAGTAAAAAAAAAAAAAACAGTAGAAATTTCTAGGGTACATAATGAGGAAAGAAGGCTGAGAAAATTTGACACTCACAGAAGGACAGGAAAGCAGCACATAACCTACCTGACATGCCCATGTAAATGGATGGTAGACCACAGATTAGAAGAAATACCAAAAAAGAAAACTTACTAAGAGGATCAAAAGAAGCTGTAGAGAACCATGATTGCTGGCATCCTGAAGTGAGATGGTGTATAGGAGATTTCATATTATCATTGTTATTATTGGTCAAGTTGTTTTTACATTCTCTGACTGTTAAGTAAACAGTATACATTAGAAATAGCAAATGAATTTCTGACAAACATTTTTTTTAATCATTTTACCCCAAGTAAGGCAATAAAGCCACTAAGACACAAGGGATTACTGAGTGGGAAAAAATAAGAAAAAGAGAAACATTATTAAGTAGCAAGAACAATAAAAGAAGATAGCAGATATTGCATTTAAATTTTTGAAGATCAAAGTTGATTGGAAAGAAAGAAGCCAGAATAGAATTGCACAGATGAGAAAGAAACTGTTAGATTTCAACTATAAAATGATTCTTTGTTCAATTACCATGAAAGTATTTATAAAAAAAAGCACAAAGAAGCTACATTATGGCAGTGTGAAGGTGACTGATGCTGGGATGCCAAGTCAGGACCAATAACATTGTAGTTTCTTCTTTGGATTTTATCAAGAATCTCTAAATATATATATTTATAGTAGACTTATAAATATGTAAGATGGATTCTGGAGAGAAAAATATCTAGCACAATACAGTGAACCAACTTTCCTAGTAGCAGGTTTAGGAATTGATTCAGTATAATCTTTCCCCGTCATGTCAGATTCATCAGAAAATGAAAATAGGAAAACCGTGAAAGGTAGTAATTAATGTTATTATACATTTATATTTAGTGGGTACATGTTTGACAGTTTGGTTTTTAAACAGTGAAATTAATGTCAACCAGCCTATAATATATATTATGATATTGTAGGGATGTGAAAGATGATTATCTCCCTTTGTTTAAGACAAGGTCACATAGGCCACATGATAACCAATAAGGGATGTAATTTCGTGGGATGACAAAAGGGAGTTTCTATGTAGCACATGTAGAGAAATGTCTGCCTATACCAATTATTGATGATAGCTAAGGCACTAGATATCATCTGAAGCTCACAGTTGTAGTGAGAACAGAAGAGCCCACAAAATACCTTAAAGTTTGTTTTTCCTTTTTTTTTTTATTCATATTTTTCAGTTTCTCTGTGTGGAACAAATTAGTGGTATGTATTTATATATTTGTATATAATTTATTGTATGACATAGTGGTATATAAAATCTCGTTGAGAACAATGCATGTTTCTCATTCCTTTCTTTCAGCTATTTGCTTCCAACGGTGTATTAAGGTGTTAGTATATCACAGATATAATAAGGCCTAGAACTTGAAATATTATTTCTTGTCTAGAACACCCACATTAATATAAGTTACATCTATTAATAACAAGGACTTCATTTTGACAGAGAAATTTTCATTAATTGGTAATTTAAACTTTTTTTTTTTTTTAGGAAGCAGAAAATACAGTTGCATGGCAGAGATTCTTGCCATCTGGACCCATTGCTATGTTGCCAGTGAGTATCTTATACAGCAGGCTATAAATGGAAGACAAACTAACATAGTTTTTGATTGAAATTCTTGAATGAGAAATTATCATTATTTATACTATTTAGTTTTTGTCTATTGTTTTCATGTCGAAGTATAATTGTGTTTTCGACAAGTATTTTATGGAATTGTGTGTGCGGGCAGGCATGTTGTTTTAAATGCCTAAAACAAAAACTAAAAATCCTTGAAGCATTATACATCAAACAGTTGAAACCCAACCTAAACAAAATCAATTATGGCATCTCTACAAATATTCTTAAATGTCTATAATTGGTAACAGAAGCCATTGGTTTATACCAACAGCTTCCCATACTTCATACTTCTCCAATTCACTCTCGTGTGGTCATGTGTGACGTCATGAAATGTGGTGTGATTTTCGCTTCTAGCATCTTATATGCATGTGTTTATCGTTGCTTAGAAATCATCTATGTAAACAATGACAGACTATCATCACTGTCTTGTCCATATATTGCTTAATATGTTGTAATTGACATCTTTGATAATGGCTTATGTAAGCCAAAAGCTTATGGATCAATATTGTGAATTTCTTTCTTCGTTCAACGATAATGTTATTAAACTTATCAGACGTTATGAAAAAATTTACATAAAATAAATAGACAACACTTGTATATATTATCTAATGAAACGTGTATGAATGAAAAGATGCTGCCTAAATACACACAATATATATATATATATATATATATATATATATCACAGCTGTTTGAGGTTTCCTACAGACCCACTGAACTTAAATAAAGTCAATTCAGGTTTCCTATGGTAAAATTTTCTTTCCCAAGTGAAAATCATCACAAAAATAGCAAAAGTCATTTTGTCACACCTTATTTTCTCTCAAAATATGGGTTTTCATACTTTTTTAGGGGTAAAATATTGAAAAATGACTGTTTTATCATCACCTAAACTAATATCAAGGAAACTTTTGATCTGAACCCCATGAAACTAGGTATTTTCTGAAAGCAAAAGATATATTCTTTCATTTAAAAGTAAAATTAGCTGGTGTAAATGACTCAAAATTTTTTCAGTGGGTAAAATGTGAAAAAATAGTGAAAATTTTGCATTTTTTCTTGTTCTAAACAAATATTTCCCCCATTAATGGGAAATTAATCATTTTTTTTTTTTTTTGAAAATCAGAAAGCCTAAATCATAATGAAACTATTTCAGGCATAAAATTGAGAGTTTTGAAGGAAATCAACATTCCTAGAGGTTCAAAATGCGACAAAATCCATTGTTAATTTTCAATTATATGACTGCCAAGGGTTAAAAAATTGACACCTGGCCACGGAAATCTTTAGTAAAAGGCAAGAGATTTATCTGCAATTCCTAACCACCAGAAACCAAAAAGTTTTTTTTTTAAAAAAAATAGCGATAAGGGAAAATAAACCTAATTGACTTTGACGTCTAGGTCAAGGCCAGCCAGCCAGCCAGCCAGCCAGCCAGCAATAAACGGACGGCAAACCTTAGAACAAGTTGTAATAAAACCCACCACTCCCAGATAAAAGCAAAGAGGGGGTTCACAATTACTAGGGCTTCATACAACCTATGTTTGAACAATGGCTTGATGAGTTTACTTTTGTTTTGTTTTTAACACCCCATGACCCGGGTGATGACAACAACACTTAGCAGCCGACATTGTTTTTTTTCGCCGCATATCTTTCATATTTCCCATCGCCGGTCCATTTAGCCTTTCTTTTTATTCAATGATGTTCATGCCAAATGAAAGAGAAAGGAATGAATTTTTAATGATGTTATTTTGAAGCGAAAATAAATATTTTTTCATAAAAAAAAGGGGATTTTTCTCAGAAAATTGGGCATAATTTCTTAATGCTAACCGCCGAGTGACATTTTCCACAGCCAAATCGAAGATTAATTACCAGTGAATAATTCCATGTGCAAAAAATAGCTGTCTGGATCCTATAAGGTCGCCCTAAAAGGTCCAGAAGTTTACTAATTGATCAAAAACCTGTTGCGCATAATTGTATTTTTCACGGTCAGTTTGCATTATTTCATTTTGAAATTACCATTTTCGGACAGCCAAGTCATCAAGGATTCAGGAAAACACTTTGGCATAGGTTTTCTTTAAGAACTTTACATTCTATGAGGTGTTTAAAATGTTACTAACGAATGAGATTTTTTTGCCAAATATTTCGTTTTACAGCGCCATGTTGGATTTTCCTATATGACAAAAAAACAAGGGTTTTAAACAGCTGTGATATATATATATATATATATATATATATATTAGTGGAAAATATACATACATATGCAAAATATATAAATATCCATACATGTATATTTTCAGAAAAAAATTCCAAGAGGAAGAATCCAGGTAGAACTCAATGTCTAGGACAGAGTAAGGATATAATAAAAAGGCTTAAACACTAATATGACCATGGAATATTAGTGTTTAAGCCTTTTTATTATATATATATATTAACGTGTGTGTTGGAGGGTATTTTTATGGTCTGGTTCCTTAGCCATCATATTTAGATTTCCTTCTGTTCCTAAAGCTAACTCGTATAAAAAAATTCCATGTGTCTAAAAGAACTAAAAGAAATTGCATTTAAATGATTGCTTTTATTTTTGGCAACAAAAATATTAACCACTATTTGTGTTTGTTTGCCGCTATTTTCACAGCTTTCAAACTCTTTAAGTTCCATGGTATGGTCAACTAGTCCAACTCATGCCAAAAAACTATTGACTATGACAAAAGAAGAGTTTATTGATGCTGTCAATCATGCATTTGTAAGTATTTGCTTTGTTCTTATTGATTTTTTTCTTCTTAATATTTGAGACCTTATAAAAACTAATTTTACTTCCTTGTAATACCTTTCGCTGCTGCCTACACCCAATGGTATAACCATGTTTAGTGGCCCAGTCCTCAGGGTCTTAGAATGACGTTTTAACCATGGGGCTAACTCTGGGCTAGTCACTGCTGGCACTGGTCCAAGCTGGTTGTTGTTTGCTGTCTACACCAATTCTACCCACACTTTTTTTTTGATCTCAGAGCAGTGGAAAATCAAAGGCTGTAGTCTTGCAGCACTGCTAAAGCCATGGCAGGTACTATATTAAGAAAAATAACTATTTTCCTGATGAAAATTAAAGTGAGAGATTTATGGAGTCAATCTTCAGTTGGTTTATATAACGCTCTTGGTACAACAAAAATTAACCCTTCCTGCAGCAATCTCTATAGTAATACTGGGCCTTGTCTAAAATTCTGGAAGGCTGAGTTCAAAGTCTTGGAATCAGGAATTCTGATGGTATCTGATCTGGATTCCAGAGGCACTTGATGCGGCTACACAGTCCAAGTCTTTGAGCTCCCCAAAGTCATCTGCTTATATGCACTTTGGACCAAAGCATGGTGCCAAAGAGTTCCAGGGATTTGGTGATTCCAATAAGGGTTTTCTTTGTTCCCTATTTCTGCTTTCTTTATCAACTTTCCAAATCTGTAGAATTATCCCCCTTCCATGGAAGTAGTCCCCGGGATTGCTCTTCCTTTAACTCCAACCTGCTTCACTTCAATTCTTGCACTGCTACTATGCACAGGTGGAGCTAAATTGTGTCCCTTCCCCACTTCCTTCTCGGTATTCTAATTATGCCCACTTCTCAGGGAGGGCATGAATGTCTTTGTGACAAATCTAATTTTCAAAATATATAGGAGAAAGGGCAAAGTTTTATTTTATTCATTAATTTTAATTCCCTGATTCTTTTCTATTTTTCTGTAGCTATCTTTGTTGAGTGAAAATATAAACCAGACCACTAAAGACAGGACTTGTTTTCATAACTCCAGCCTTAATTGTACAGTACATCCAACCTGTTAATT